ATGTGAAACTAGGTAATGTTGAGTATCTCCAGATTGTTTGTGGAGTTCCTCAGGGATCAACCCTTGGACCACTATTATTTCTTCTTTTCATGAATGATCTTGCCAACTCTTCAGATATGCCTTCCTTTTGACTTTTTGCTGATGATGCTAGAATTTTCTATGCCACTAAAACATCAAAAGATCTTGAGGCCAGCAATGGAACCTCCTTGGACTCTACACTTCAACTCCTTCAACACACTGCAGAAATTGTGGACTTGTTCAACTCTAAATGTCCACTAACAAGCATCAATGACATTAGACTGAGAAAGTTGAACCGTTTTTATTCTTTCATGTTGGATTGGAGAGAGAAGAGTACAGATGACAATTCATCATTTATCTCAAGCAAACTGTGGTTTGATCTACAGTCGATTTGCCTTGTTTTCCATGCCCTGGCCATGCAGGTGAAACTCCACAAATTCCCACACTCATGCATTAAGCCTGCCATTATCAATCAGGATTGTGTAGAAAACCACTTTTCATATGTGAAGTGAGATCTTGCAGTGGTCAGAACAATAATCCAACTCTGAAACAGTTGCTGGGGGTGCTGGTCTTTACATATCCTGAGAAATCTTTATCACTAAAGCGCTCTTTGTTTCCCACACCTTGAAGATTATAAAAGCATTGTTCGTTTCTAAGAACAAAATGAAACGTTATTTGTTTCTAACAACAAAATGAAGCGTTCAGTTGTTCGTTTTGTATGTACTCGTTTCACACTCGCAGACATTTCATAAGCTTGTGAAACTTTATCCTGGATTTTGACAATTCCATGAAAACTTTGACTATACACAAAATTCGATTTACTTCAAGAAACTTGGAAGGGAGTTCGGTTATTCATTCATTCTCATATTTACAATCTGTAGCGTAGATGACTTAATGATTTAATACTTGGAAAAGAATTGTGAATGGAAGACTTTGAAGAGTTTGCAAACCCACAAAAGGACAACTTACTGGACAGATAAGTAATAACAATTGTAACTGTAATTAAACAATCATGGTAATTCAAATTTTAACTTCTAGCTCGAATACGTGAATATGTCTTGTCATAATGATGGTTTATTGCAACTGCCATTCTTCAATTTACCAGACCATAAATTTTGTAATTTAACTGGTTCCTGCACCCCCAGCCTGTTTGAAAGACTCACTGATAATATTGATCTTCTGAATGTGCTCCTTAATCCAGTGACAAATATGATGAAAGGGACTCTGACCTTATGCTTAATTTTCCATGCTCAGAATACTATGAAACTTCTAAATTAAATAAGTTATTCAATTCCTCTCACAGCTCTAGGAATAGTCTTAATATATTCCACTGTAATATTAGAAGTCTGTACTATGAAACTTCCAAATTAAATAAGTTATTCAATTCCTCTTACAGCTATATGAATAGTCTTAATACATTCCACTGTAATATTAGAAGTCTATCAAAAAATCTGCCTATCTTAGAAGATTGGTTATACTCTTTATATAGAAAAAAAACCTGACATATTAGCCATTTTAGAAACAAAGCTGAACAGCAGATCTATAATTAACATTCATATACCGGCCAGTACCACTTTTTTCATACTGACTCTGAAACAGCTCCATATTGATCTTCAGTAACTCAAATCTCAAACTTCAAGTTTTCGGGCTTTTTTCGCGTTTTGTTCGCACTTTGATCATTAAAATATCCTCAACCGAAGAGCCAGCAAACACCATGAGTATCCACAGAGTTAGAAATGTTGGCGAACTTGTCATACTCCTTCATCCATATTCACAAAATATTACAAAAAGGTGTCGATCGTCCAGTGAAACCTCGCAGAAACGCGTCGAAAACTCTACAAATGGCGCCGAACGCAACAAACTAATTCCGCGCGCGCATGCGCAGACAAAATGCCTCTCTGCTCAAAATTTGTTGTTAAGTGGGTGATTTGAGGGCATTGCACCACCACTTAATGAAACATTTCTTGAATGTTGTAGCATAATTTCTAGAAAACTCGCAACAACATCTAGAAGAGCAAAAAATCAAAGAAACCAAGATGCTCGATGATTGGAGACAAGAGTAGAGTCTGGAAGCAGTGAAAAGGTGCCTTCCATTGGGATCTGTGAATCCCAATTTTTCTCTTCCATTGCATGATCATGAGCAGCTTACATCCTTACACTCAGCCACATTGAACTGGTTCCTGCTTCAAGAATGAGAAATCACTTGGCAGAAGATGTACTTGACAAAAAAATGCTTATCTCGATGCAGGTTAGCGTTACAACAATAGTCAATGGTGAACTATTCAATGTTAAATTGTTTTGTTTTTTCATTATCCCCATTCCCTAAAACACAGAAAAAATACTGGTGATAAAGCCTGCCTACTTTCAATCACAAAACCAATTCTTAATTTAAAAAAGATGGTAAATTAAGTGCTGAAACTCATTCCTCATTGTTTGTATTTTTTTTTTATTCTTAATCTTTGGCAGAGTTATGGAGATCACATTATGGCATTTATGGAAGCTAGACCAAGAGCTCAGCAATGGAACCTCCTTGGACCCTGCACTTCAACTCCTTCAACATACTGCAGAAATTGTGGACTTGTTCAACTCTAAATGTCCACTAACAAGCATCAATGACATCAAGCTGAGAAAGTTAAACCGTTTTTATTCTTTCATGTTGGATTGGAGAGAGAAGAGTACAGATGACAATTCATCATTTATCTCAAGCAAACTATGGTTTGATCTACAGTCGATTTGCCTTGTTTTCCATGCCCTGGCCGTGCAGGTGAAACTCCACAAATTCCCACACTCATGCATTAAGCCTGCCATT